ATAGTATAGAGGTGTGGCTGGCTAAGTGTGTGCGTGGGCGTTTAAAGTAATGTTTGTGACATCATTAAGTAGAATTGTAATATCAAGAAGGATAATGGTAATGATGATAATCACATTTTAAAAACAATATCAATTTCTATTTCATAGTCTTCTCCAAGTGCAAAGCGCCTCAAGTTAGACACAGAGGAGAGAGACTCCCTCCTTTCCCCTCTCCTCTCTGCTGGCTGGGCACTAGTCGAAGGACGTGATGCCATTAAAAAAGATTTCAAATTCAACGACTTCAATGAAGCGTTTGGATTCATGACACGAGTGGCACTGAAAGCAGACCAGATGAATCATCACCCAGAGTGGTTCAATGTCTACAACAGTGTCAATATAACACTCAGTACTCATGATTGCCAAGGACTTTCGCAGAGGGACGTCAATCTAGCTAAATTCATTGATTCCGTTGCTAAGTGAATGGGTACATATGTCACCCGTTGCTAAGGGGCGTGGCTAGACACATTAATATTAAAAGTATACATGACTTCAATTTTTTCTCTTTTTGTACAAACACACACACACACACACACACTTTGTTATAAAGATAAAAAAATTTGATCAAAATAACAGTTTTAAAATGGCTGCCCAGCACTGCCAACTTTAATATATTGATGTAATGTAGTATCGTAACACTGAGAACTAGTAAGACTCCTTTTCCCTCCTCCTTCTCCCTCGCCTCCTCCTCCCCCATCAACCCTCTCTATCATGAGAGAACAGGTCGGTATTGTTAGGTATCCTTCTTCCAATGGCATAGCCATTACTTTAAACGAAGAGCTATTAGCTATGCCCGGGGCCGGGACCACACCTTTTTTCGGCATTTTAATGAGCCACTGAGTGTGGTCAGGCTGTATTGCGTAATGAATCTGAAGTGAGTGAGGCTGGTGGGTGGAGTCACGGAACCCTCTGGTTATATTGGAAATGGTGTATATAATGTAGACGTGTTGATTGAGGGATATCGGTTGGAGGGGGAGGACCGGCTCAACAGCTGCTTTTAAATGATACACAGTCTCCATGTTGGATAATGAGAAATTGTACTCAGCTGTACGTGATAAGGTACTTAACGCTTTTTCCTGAAGACAGAGAGAGAGGAGAAAGTGAAAGTGAGAAAGATATACATGTATACTAATCAGTCATGCAGCATTAAGTCAACTTACATTAGTCAAATTGTAATTTTGAGGATAATAATAAACTCTGAAGGTTGCCGGTGTCACAACAAGCACATTTCCTACCATAAACATGTAGTACATGATAAACACAATTACTGTACACAGCCAAGAATTATCATGCTGATACAGC